TTTAGTATTGATTATCATTTAATATAAGAAAAGAATTACTTCCTATTTAATATAAATATCAGTTTTATCAGCAATCAGGATTGCTAATTAAGATATCAGGATACCTTAATGAAAATTATCTGCGTGGAGTAAAATAAATTGGGGGGTGTACTTGTCAAAATATTACATCTCATCTAGATTTCATTTGCTGGAAAATTATGCGATCCAATGCCCAAAATTTATTTGTTGTATTTTTTGGACGATGTTCAAACTATTTACAGACAAGGATAGTGTTAGTTAAAATAATAATTTCCTTTAGGTTTTTTATCATATGGTACGATTTGTTTAGCATATTATTATATGTTGAATAATGGACACCGTTTCTTATCTTGTTCCGTATATATCTATTTTTAATGTATATTTTAGTGTATATATTAATGTAGAGAATTTTCGCAAATCATAGATCATATACTTTACTGATGCGTTCTTCTGGTCGAGCAGACTTGGAAGGTGGATTACAAACTGTTGTGGATTCCGAGATGAAATCCGGTACCAATAAATAAAAAAAAACCGCCAAGAATGAATATAGGAAAATAATGTATTAACGTTATAATAAAACTGGTAAAGCAAGTTAGTAATTCCAGGAATACGGGTTAATGTAACAAAATATATACAACGTAGTTTTTGGTATTCCTATCGCTGTATGACTTCTTACTGAGTCTCGTGCTCGCTCATTGTGATTCTTGCTGGCTACGTTCGTTCTGCTTGTCTGTTACCTTACTCACACTCTTCCGGTTACCTACAACCTTTCACTCCTTCTCCTCTTGTCTGTCGGGTCTTTTACGTAGCAGTAGTATATGTATAGGAAAAAAAAGAGTCCATTTTAAAAAAGAAAGGACCCCTCAACACAAACTTAAGTAGCACCTGAAATTGATCCATGGCGAGAATAATAATAAATTCCTAATATAAGGCCCAAGAGCCACTAAAGTTAGAGGGCTACTGTGTGGATTTGTATTAGCATGGGAAAGGACGAGAAGTATAGAGCTAAAGTAGACTTAAGAAGGAACCGGAAATTCAATCCGGAACAGGAAAAAAGAGATAAACCTCTAATCCTGTCCAAGAGGCCGCGGAGGAGTGTGAACCGGACGATAGACTTTTTTATTGAGAAAAAATAAATAAATGGTAAGGAACATTTCAGAGTTTAGGCGGAGTCGTTAGAAGTATAGATTTGAAGTAGACTTTAGAAGGAGCCTGAAACCCAATCCTAAACAGGAAACAAGACATAAACCTCTACTCCTGTCCAAGAGGCCGCGGAGGAGTGTGAACCGGACGGTAGACGAAGCTATTGAGAAAAAATAAATAAATAGTTACTAACATTTCAGAGTTTAGTCGGAGTCGTTAGAAGTATTGAGTTGAAGCAGACTTTAGAAGGAACCGGAATGTTTAGTCGTTAGATGAATAGAGTTGAAGTAGAATTTAAAAGGAACCGGAAATTCAATTCTAAACAGGAAACAAGGGATAAAACTCTACAAGTTATTCGTGTCTAGGCCGAAGATATAGATGATTTCATTTTGATTGTCCCAAAAATTGATGTTTGTTAATTAGATGGCAAAAATTTAAAACATAAAAAGTGATGTTAAGACAAGATAAAAAATATTCCAGTATCCAGTGAGGATCGATTCACTACGATAATAAAAATTTGAAACTGATCTTGCAGTTGATCTTAGCACTAACAGAAAGAACGTATATATATATATATATATATATATATATATATATATATATTTGTGTGTGTGTGTCCCAAATGTAAAAATTTGGTAATTGTAAATTTGTGTGAAAATATATTGTTAAATTGTGCTATATTTATGGGATAAAAAACTCAATATCAGAGATAGAGCATGTGTAAATATAAAATTGAACATTGAAGTCATGTACTTTAATGAAAACAGGCTGTTTCAATGCTAGAAATGTGAAAAATCGTTTTTCGTTTATTATATATATATATATATATCGATAATGATCTATATATATATATATTTGCGTGAAAGAGTTTAAATGTTTGCAGTATATATATATATATTTATATATATATATATATATATATATATATATATATATATACAGACACATATTCAACACACACAAACAGATTTACATGGACATGCATATATATATATATATATATATATATATATATATATATATATATATACATTTTGAGGTAGACAAAAGATATTTTACGAATGAGCAACGCTTCGAAGAGCCTAGTTATAAAGTCGATTTATATTGATAGCTGTCAATCAATCTTATTATTATATTGTTCCCGTCTTTGTTGTCCTTATCATAACATTTCGGAAGTTGGATTCTCCGGCCTTTATCAAGTGTTTGTCGATCCGATTTTAGTTTTGCTCGGTTATTGCACGCCTCGTTTCCGCTGAGTCCAATAACTGCGCAGTACGAAAATACGAACTAGATGAGATCTCCCCAAAACAGACGGTAAAACGAGAACAATTTATTTGAGGTTCAGTTAGAAATTCTCTGAGGTTAATTTGGATAAACAAGCACCTGATGAAAATTTTGAGAATAACAAATGCCTTTTTATTTTGATAATAACAATAAAAGATGAAGTTTAAGAACCTGAGCGTAAATAATGCCAAATCCTCATGAAAAATTCAAAAAATTTTCTATCTATCTATCTATCAGATTATATTCAAATTATCTATCTATCTATCTATCTATCTGATTATATCAAATCTGATTAAATAATAAATCTATCTATCTATCTATTATCTAGATATCTGTGACACCATTTAACAGGACAAAAAAAGAAAAAAAAAGAAAAAAAAAGGAAAGAAAAAGGAAAAGAGAGGCGAGACTCAAAGCGTAGATGATAAAAGAAACCACCCACGACCAGAGACAATTGACAATGTTATTTTGATAAGTAACAAATGGCGAAAAGGTGTCATTACATTGGCAGAAAATTCTTCTAAGTGGATAAAGGAATCGACTATGTTCTGGCGACGAACTTGTGTTATCGGGGATAGATAATAAAGCCGTTTAATGCTGGAAAACATCTAATTAGCAAACCACAGACCGACTAGCTAAGAAAACTCCAATTGAAAATGTTATTTTTTTGATAATTGACAAAGAACAGGTGAAATACAGGGCTTTGGATAGATATGAAAATTAACTGTGTCGTCTAAAGCCGCACACGAAGCCAACCCTGAGTAACGACTGACCGTTTTTTGACAAGACATCTAGAACATCTTTGCCTGTGATAACAAAAACTATGTTATCAGAAATTGTGCACAAGGGAAATGACTAGAACAATGGAACTGTTTTTTTCGAGACGACGGTCGACTGTGTTAAAAAGACCACCCATTCTGATAATTGGACGACCACCTGACGAAACTTGATAATTAGAATTGATGGATCCCAGGTCGCATTGTTCTGTTTGCGGCCAGGAAAATGAGAGCTGCGATTAAAGAAAGAAAAGAAAAAGAAAAGATTTTTTTTTTTTTGAGCAAGATATATATTTTTTTTCTTCCTGAAACAAAACCAGCTGGATCGCACACGCCCGGCAGGACATTATTGGCCGAGAGGTGATCACGTGATGCAAGGAGGGAAGCCGCCGCTGCCCATTTAGAGGATAGGTATGAGAAGTTGCTACAAAGAAGTGGGGAGAGCCGTTGACGCCCCTCTGAAGTATGGTGAGAAGGTGGGAGTAAGAGAAGACTTCCAAAAATGGAAAGAAGTGGAAAATTCCTAACCAAAAATAAAAGAAGTGGATATGTATTTAGAATTATCGAGGAACCCCCGGCGCCGACAAACCCACCCCGGTTTTGGTCGGCGTCCATATAAGCAAAGTCGCAGCGAGCAGAAATCAGTACAGTTCAGTGGAGTAGAGTTCCAGCAGAGTTTCCAGAAGAGTTCAGAGCGCTCAGTTGAAGCAGGCCTCGCTCGCAGCTGACTAAGATTCGCGCAACTTCCGAACTCATCTTCAATCCAAGAACAATTATTTTGAAGAGCGACTTAGATCCATACCACCAAAATAAGTTTTTTTTCGACTTTCGCCTGAAGACACACCAAGAACCAATTTCTCAAATAACAGACAACTTAACAAAAAAAACAACGTGTCACAATCCATATAACGGGTCGGGAGATAGACGCAGTCCTATGTATCCAGCAACTAGACATAAAGTATTGTTATCCTTTTTTTTTGATACCTTGAACTTTTGAGTTATCATTTTATTTTCTTTTATGCATATTTGTGCGATATCACCCCCGTTTGAACCGAATTTGCATTACGGCCCCAACGACTGATTGATTTCGTCTGCCTAAGATCAATTCACAACGTGGGTAGGCGGACTGGAGATCAACGCAGTTACTTTGGTAACCAGACGTTGGAAGCGAGTTGGGAACGACGAGGCTGATATCGAATCTAACCAGATTCCCACCCGAATCACCAAAAGGTTAGAACGTCACATTTGGGTGCCGCGACCGATACCAAGCCAGTTGGTCGTCACAGGACGGGACAACACGACTGACGCAACAGGCGGACGTCACATTTGGAGCGGCGACACCCGAACGAAGCAGCGAGGAGCGAGCGAAGGCTGTGTTTAGGGACGTCACATATCTATCTATCTATCTATCTATCTATCTATCTATCTATCTGATTATATTCAAATCTATCTATCTATCTATCTGTTTATATTCAAATCTATCTATCTATCTATTTATCTGATTATATTCAAATCTATCTATCTATCTATCTATCTATCTATCTATATTCAAATATATCTATCTATCTATCTATCTAATTATGTTCTTATCTATCTATGTATATATATATTCTTTAGATTTTTGGTAGTTGTTATGGCGTATTTCTAAGGGAAGCCTGTAATTTATGTTCAAACCCAGTTAAAAGTGGATGCTGATTTTTATCTAAGTTTTCTCACTTTAAAAATCGACAAATTAGATTCCTATCGCTCCCCTTGCCATTTATCCTTACGCCAGACTAAATTAATTCTTTTATTTCAATAAAAGTCAACTGTTTGTGCATGTAGTTTTTTACTGAAATTCGACTGTTGTCATTAGAATAAAAATTCATTTATATTTTTTTGTCGGTATTATTTCCATTGGCTGCTACTGTATGCATGTATATGTTTGTCATCTGTCATCCAGTTAGAATCGAACCTAGGTCAATGTCTACAGGAAGAGCGCCCGAAAAAAACCCATCGAATCTTTGGAAAGATTTACCACCGTGCACCAATCTGTAAGAACGTCGTAAGCTTGGAGTGTCCAACCAGTTCATTCGGTAAGTTTTGTTGGTTTGGGTAACATGTCCACCACATGTTTACAGTTTCTGAAATATGTAAGTAGTCACCCATATAAGCATGGATCTGTTGCTTAACTTTGATGACAAGATAAGCTATTCCAGTATCCAGTGAGGATCGATTCACTACGATAATTAAAAAATTAGAAACTATCTTGCACACACTCAACGTTCCACAGACGCCCACGTAAATATCTATCTATCTATCTATCTATCTATCTATATATATATATATATATATATATATATATATATATATATATATGTGTGTGTGTGTAAATAATTCGCATTGCGTGTGTGTGTGTCCATGTGAAGAAATATACTCTTAAATTGTGCTATATTTATGGGATAAAGTGCTCAATATCAGAGATAGAGCATGTGTAAATATAAAAGTGAACATTGAAGTCAACACTTAGAGGCGACAGGCTGTTTCATGCTAGACATGTAATCGTCAGGCCATATATATATATATATATATATATATATATATATATATATATATATATATACAGGCACACAAATACATATATATATATATATATATATATATACAGAGTAAGGTAGACAGGACGGACGTTTCTGAAAAAAATCACATTATTAATCTTAGCTCCCAAAACTCTTTAATGACATCAATGTGTTCATATTTGACAAAATCAAGTGTGGAAAATAACATCCCACATGTGGTGTCCGTTTTCATTGCTGCAATTCTGAAGGCGTTTTTGGAAGTGGGCCTCCACTCTTTCCCGCTTTGCTCTGTCGATTTGAACGACTTCCACGCGAATAGCTTCCTTCTCATCGTCCAATGTACGGGGCTTATGCTCATACACCCATGCCTTGAGGTTTTTCCACAAGAAATAATCACACATAGACAAATCAGGAAACCGAGAGGGGGTGCGAGTAGTGTCAGCAAAACTAGAAATGAGGCGGTCACCGAAGAGAGGGTGAAGAACGTCCTTTGTTGATCTGGCTGTGTTGGCCGTTGCCCCATTATGCTGAAACCCTATACGTCGGATACGAAAGCATTTTTGTCGTTATTCAGACAGAATAGAAGTTTTCTATCATCTCGATGTAACACTAGGAGTTCACAGTAACAGTATTTCCATTATGGTCTTCAAAAAAGTAACGGCCAATGATACTAGATTTTCAAGCAATACACCCAACCGTTACTTTTGGTCTGTGAAGTGGGTTTTTCGTGCAGTTTTCTCGAATTTTCAAGAACCCAATAACGACAATTCAATTGATTTACTATGCCATTGAAATAAGAAAAAAAGAGTTTCATCACTAATTAACAAAATGAGGTTGTCATTTGCTCTAAAAATTGTTCCATCTGTGCATAGTTACTCTGGTTTCAACTATTGCCCATTGATCAGTTTGTAGGGGTAGAAATGCAGTTCTTCATGCAAAATATGCAAAAGGGGTAGAGGGAAACTACCGCCCGGTATATACTCCTCCTCCATTATCGATGCCATGTTTAGTAGCCTTCCTCCGAGTAGAGCGATTTAGACTGCGCAGTGACGCTTGTCTGACGCCTTCCATATTTTCTAGGGTACGTACCTTTCTGCTAGTCATTAGTGTATCACGTGCGCAACACAACGTAAGATGGTGTAACGAGTGAGAATAGTGTAATTTCGGTGAATGTTGAATTGGCGACGAAGCTCACGCTTAACTGGTGTGACAGTTTCATTATTTTTCACGAAACTTCCGTTGGCGAACACGCGGTGCTCTATCGTCCATAGCAACATGGCTTCAACTGAAAAAAATAGCTAAGACACCACGAAAAAGTTAATAAAGTGATTGTAAGTATTTTAAAATAGGGAGTTATTTATCGCCCTGTTTATAGACATTATTTCTTATTACTATAAAAGTACACGTATTTTACAAGCTTAATAGTTATTATACGTGTTTGATTCGACATCCCAGTTTTTATTTTCTTAACCAGAGAAATTAATAACACCCGGCCAAGTTCGTGAAATCCTACAAAAAAAAAAAAAAAAAATTGAATATACCGACGGTGCGTAAATAAAGCGATTTCTAAAAAAAGTATTTCTTAATTATTAATCCGTCAGATTTTGTGCCTGACGATTGCTACGTGCATGAAATTCTGCTCGCTATCCGAAAATAGCGCATTCCTATGAAACATTTCATTAGACAAAATGGAGTAAGGCGAATCAGCAGTAGTGATTTTCCAAGCGTAGCTTAGACGTGAGACAAGATCGAAAGTAGTGGGGTACCCAGTGAGGATCGACATCACTACTCTTCTGTTCTAGCGAGACAAGCTTGCTAAACATTACACCGCCTCGAGGTGTCTAACGCGAAAAAGCAGTAACCAGTAATTTATATATGATAATTTTTCGCAGACGTTCAGTTTTTAGGATATGATTTTCATAATTTTGCTACGATTTTCACAGTTTGCTGAAAATTATGCCATTTCTTTAAAAGAGGCAGTGACTGAGAAGATGTTTTAAGGGTCTTCCAAGAAATGCATGATATAAAAATTGCATGAGACTAATTCGTTAAATATGCTTAAATAATTAGTCTCACGCAATTTTTCTCTCTTATTTCAAGGTTATTCTCATCAGTCGTATTTTCTGTTATATGTCAAGGCTTTTACCATTAGCAGATGACGAGACTCAGTCCTCAGTATCGAGGTAAGCAGACATAAAAACTTTATTTTGGGATCTGCGACGAATGGTAGCTGCTTTCTTCGACGGTATTTCAGAGATCAGGGAAATAGGAAAGATACATAAAATGATTTTATCACACACACACACAACACACAACACACACACACATATATATATATTTATGTATATATGCATAAAAAGAAAGAAGAGGAAAAACTATATGTAACTGACGCATTTCGTTCTCCGAGGGACTCTATCTATGCAAAGAGGACGAAACGCATCTGCTAAGAATATTTTGTCTTTTTCTCTCTTTTTATCCATTTTGACTCTTCTACACATACAGTCCATCTGAGAATATTTATAAACACACACACGCACACACACAAATATCTATCTATCTATCTATCTATCTATCTATCTATCTATATATGTATATATATATATATATATATATATATATATATATATATATACATACATATATATATATATATATATATAAAAAAAGGTTTAAACACTAATATTCCTAATAGTTTAGATATATGATTGCATATGTACGTGTATATTAACCACTAATATTATCTATCTATCTATCTATCTCTCTCTCTCTCTATATATATATATATATATATATATATATAATCCTCAGCGGTGGATTACAAAGACAAACTTATTGCAACTAATCGTTGTGATGGTGATTTAATATATATATATATATATATATATATATATATATATATATATATGTATGTATGTATGTATGCATACACACACATTCAGGTCGGCAAATGTTGTTAATACTATTTATTATGAACGGAGCATTTAGTTAAATATTATTATCTGTAAAAATAACGTACAAACAATATATATATATATATATATATATATATATAGTAACATTTACCAATAAATGTGAACTATTGCAGATATAGCCTATTTTATATGGAGACATACCAAGTAAAAATCAATGGCTGAATGATATTTAAATCTACTTTCAGGTGATAAGGCATATATTTAACATTGTCTGTTTAATATGTAATTTTTATAATAATTTTCATCCAATACAAGGCCCAAGAGCCACTCAAGGTAAAGTGTTACTCTGTGGTATTGTACGAGCGTAAAAAGTCAAGTGGGTTTATGCAGGAAAAATAGCGGTTTACTCAAGTACTGAAGAAATAAAAATTGAGGTGAATATGAAAACATCCCGCCGGAAGTGCGTTCTACAAAGAAGCAGTTTTTGGGAAGAAGCTGTCGGTCGGGAACATACTTCTTTCATATACACGAGATATGTAATTCTATATATAAGACCATGAGTAACTGAATAAGGAAATGCCAAGAAAAAAATAACGATTAAAAAATCCTCCGTTTAGCGTATCGTCCTTGAAAATGAGATTTCATACTAACAATGGTAATATTGATGGAAAGCTTACCCTATTGCTTTGTGGGATATTGAAAAACAATGGCGAAGAGAAGAAAAAACAAAAGCGATAGAATGGTGTCGGCTGGGTTATGCATCTGAATAGATTGGCGACTAAAATCTAAACATTTAAATTGAAAGTTAAGCATCTCTGTATCTTGAGCCTTTCTCGATGTAGAATTGTAAACGATTTTGTTGCATTTCGTCCCAAATTTCCCAAGATAAAACCATTATTTGTCTGAAGGAATTCCCCTGAAAGACAAAATACAGAGCGCCGGAGTTTATTTTTGGCATTTTGTTATTGAAGTACTTCAACACACACACACACACACACACACACACACACACACACACACACACACACACACACACACACACACACACACACACACACACACACACACACACACGTGTGTGTGTGTGAGCTTTTATCGAACCTGATGAGAGACATTGCACGAAATTCTTGAATGAGATAAATATTGAATATTAAATGAGTACACACATGCACATACGC